GTAGGGCTCTGCTACAGAATGTCAGTCCAACCGTTTTAAATTTGCAACTTGCTTGTTACTGCTCAGCATTTTTTGGCCGGATTTTGTATATAAAATGTGTCCCATGACTGTTTGTCTCTCTTCACTTTCTGGTGTTTGTCTAATAAAAATGCATGTGTAATTTATTCTATTGTGTGGACCTTTTAATTAAAGACATGGAACAGCAAATGCAAATGCAGATAACAAGCACTTTTCCTAGGGCCCTGCCCTGTTAAAGACGCAGATTTTTGCTCCTCATTCACATTTCCTGAATCTCTCCATTAGCAGCCGAAACACCGAGGCACAGCGAAGCACCGAAGGCAGGTTTGCCGTTGATTTCAATGTTCTCCCCACTGTGCAAGTAAAACACCTGGAAGCCAAACGCAGGGCACGCCAAGGCAGGAGTCGGGCACAGGGAAAAAGGTCTGAGATTAATTTACTATGCAGCTTCCAGCCAGTACAACATCCAAGAGCCTGGCTCCCGGGGGGTACAACGGGCAGTGCCAAGCCTGTGATGTACTTGCATAAACTTATAACAATAGGGAACTAATTACCAGGGGAGTCAGAGCAACCACCCGACTTGTTCATGTGTATCAGTCCATCTCAAAACCCCGTTTACCGTGAGCTGTCTCACCTAAGCGTAGATGCCAGCAGGGCAAACGGGAGTGGGTTGAAAGCACTCCCTTTCTGTTCAGAGCACTGGCCACGCTGTTTTACGTGTTTATCTTGGGTCTTGATGCTCACATGTTCCTCTCCTTTGACTATAAGCAGGTGGAGGATCTGGTCCATACGCATTCATGTACTATGTTGAATTACGTGTTGCACATCCAATAGCTGTAAAAAATATCAAAAAATAGGATACCGGTTGGAAAGTGAAAGTCTTCAAGATCCAATCTTCCTTCACATTCCTGGAATACATTGGAGACAAGATCTTGTTTTGTGAAGGTGGAGAAAATCCAGAGGAGGTGTAGCAATTTTAGATGTAGTTCTGACTAATCAGGAGAAATTAATTAAGAAGTAAAAGCAGAGCATCATCTGTCTGAAAGCTACAAAGTCACAGATGTCATTGGTGGAAGATGAGTTGAACAAATAGATGTGATTAGAAAAAGTGCCCACTCCCGCCCCATGTATTTCAGTTAGTTCAAGGAATGGGTAGAGAAGCATTCTTGGAAGATACTCGAAGGGATGGGCAAATAGAGGGGAACTGGCAGTCCCCGAACAACAGGCTGTATTCATATTTTCCTTTGAGACCAGCAGTTTCCTAAAATTTTCTAGGATGCTCTGAACTCTGCATGTTCCTCTCTGTATCCCTCAGGAAATCTCCTTTCCAATGACTTGCAGGCTTGGTTATGGGTCTGCTGCGGCTCTCCACCTCTCCCTGCTGAATACTCACAGTGGCTTGGTGGGAAGCAACAATATCCTCACTCTGAACAGCAGCCTGGGCAAGGTTAAGCAATGGTCTTCCTCATCTGCCCAAACACACTCTCTAACCAAAGAGGATATAACGTATATAGCCAACAGGCACGTCAGACGGATGCCATCCATTGCATCAACACCAGGGTCATAACACAGAGATTATGATGCCCTTCATCTCACATGGAAAAGGCTGGGGCCAGAATATTTGTTCTCCAAGGGCATCCCTTTTTAAGTAAGATACAGAAAACCACCGTGGCAAAGGTTGGCACCTCTGGATGCACGACCAATGCACAGCTGTCCTTGTTCCAGAGCAAGGCTCTGGTCACCACGTACGTAACCTTCTGCATCCGGTCCTGCTGGACAAGTTAAACAGATGTAGGAATGACCTGGGGCTTATATTTCAGTGGGAGAGGACAGCCCTCGTTAATTCTAGCACAGCCCAGATTAAAACCTTAGTCATAACGAAATGAACGGTGCTTGCACTCCACTCAGGGGCTTGAATTTGCAACGCGCGGAGGGAACTGATTACTAGTTGCTACCCATAACGTTTTTATAGAGTTCTTTAGGACAGACAGTCGGCAGCTTAGTCACAGAAGCGCTTCTCTCAAAGACTGCTGCTTGTTGCAACGCACAGTAGCTGAAACACTCCCAGAACAGTTACTTTAGCTTTGTTCCAAGGCATGTAATGGAAACATTAGAAGAATAGAGAGAAAAATAGAAACAAAAAGTATGGCTGAAAGGCAAAAAGAGATGATGGGCATCTGCAAATTACCCTCTGGGGACCTTCTGGTCAAACTCAGTTGACCGTGCAGCCTCCGTGTGTGAAATGGCAAGCACAAGTGCATGCTCGAAGGACGCATCTGCAAACACCTGGTCCATAGCCTGGTGCCTGCACGTGTCTTTCCACTGGCTGGGGAAAGCTACGACCTCCCAGCAATGCTCTGCAGCTGGCTGCTACCGCCTCTGATGAGCAGGCGTTCAGCTTGGGCATGGTATCCACAAGAGAGACATACCTCAGCAAACCCAAAGGGCTGCAGGGTCTGAGAGAAGCATGGGCATCCCTGGGCATCCAGACAAGACACTGGGAGTGACTTTCAAGCATCTTGCCTGCTCTGGGATAAGCGCCCATTGTACAGGGGACAGGGCGAGTCAAGACAGCACATGTCTTTCACCAGGGAAATGCACTATGCGACTTTTCCTGGGTGCTATGCAGAATAAGAGTAGAGGGAGTTGTCTGTGAACAGTGTTGTCGGCTCAGATCCCAAGCACTGAATTTCCTTGTGAGTAAGAGATATCGGAGGGGAAAGAGAACAGACGTGGGGAGGGGAGCCTGGGAACAGGCTTCACACCGTGTAGAGACAAGGTCACCCCATGAGTCAGGAAACAGCCCAAAAGTCTGCAAAGGTGAAGCCCTGAGAAATCGCCAAGTCAGGTTTTGTGTCGTCACAGCCAACGGTAACTCCCTCCCAGGTCATATTCTGGTATTTCATCATTTGTTGTCAGTCTGAATCAGGATGAAACGTAGACACTTTTTGCAGAAAGAAAAGGTCTGAAAATACCATTCATAAAATCACCTTCCATGTCCTTCCTGCTCCCCAGCTCGTTTTTGATAGCTGATGGTCCGAGACTTCCACTAATACCCCATCCCCACCTTGACTCTTGCTTGGTCATAAGAACAAAAGTCCACAATTTCCGACAAGTCGGGACCTGAGGTGCTGATGCCCCGCTGGGGTTTACTCAAAACCACAGCAGCAGGAAAACACAGACCCGCAATAACAGATTTCTCAGATCTCGGACCACTGCACCGTGAAATAATGTGCCTTTACGCAACAGAGGGATTGATTCATCCATGAAATAGAGATGAGCGAGCGCTTGCCCAACATGGGGAACCATCTACTGCAGAGGTGAAAGGAGGGAGTGGGAAAGGAATGGCTGTGAACAGGAGTTGAGCAGGCAGTATTCAGTGTTTTCTCAGATATTTCGACAGCCAGATCATGACTGTCACCAAAAATGCAACTCGTGCACTTTGTGAGTGTTTCATAGGTGCTTGAGCTCACGGCAAACTCACCGTCTGCTTTGCTGCTGGGTGTGCCGAGCCCAGTTAATCAGTAAGATGAGCACCACGCCAGACCCATCCCCAGCTAGTAAGGGTATAAAAGGGTCAGTCCCAGCCTGGGGGAGCACACCTTCCCCTTCCTGCCTTCATCCACTTCCTCGCTGCTTTATTCTTCCCACCGCTCTCACCCTGCTCACATCAGCTGCCATGTCTCGCCAGTGCGCTGCAAGGAACCAGAGCAAAACTGGCTTCAGTGCTGCTTCTGCCTTCATCCCAAATGCCAGCAGCATCAGCTTCTGCTCACCTTCTGCACCCCAAGGTGGAAGCTGTGGTACTGCCGCTGGGTATGGAAGATTTGGTGGAGGTTTTGGAAGCAGGAGCCTCTACAGTCTTGGTGGATGCAAGAGGATCTCCGTGGCTGGAAGGGGTGGTGGCTTCTACGGACCTGCAGGTTTTGGTGCTGGCACTGGGATCTCCTGTGGTTTTGGTGGTGCCTTCGGGTTTGGTGGTGGCATGGGTGGCCCTGGATTCCCTGTTGTCCCTGCTGGAGGCATCCATGAAGTCTCAGTCAACCAGAGCCTTCTGAAACCTCTCAATCTGGAGATTGACCCCAACATCCAGAGCATTCGTAAGGATGAGAAGGATCAGATTCAAACCCTCAACAACAAATTTGCCTCCTTCATCGACAAGGTGAGACATAAGATTTCTCGGTTATGCTGTGTCGATTCTTCAGTAGGGAAGCACAAACAAGGGCAAGTTATATCTTTATCAGCAACTTTGCTGCTCTTGAACTGCCATTTCTAACATCAGCAGCCTGGGAATAAAACCTGAGGGGTTCTGGGTTTGAGACCATTCATCCCATGTTAACGCTGAGATGAAACCAGCCAACATGGGGAAAATGGTGATACAGGATATGCTGTGTCGATTCTTCAGTAGGGAAGCACAAACAAGGGCAAGTTATATCTTTATCAGCAACTTTGCTGCTCTTGAACTGCCATTTCTAACATCAGCAGCCTGGGAATAAAACCTGAGGGGTTCTGGGTTTGAGACCATTCATCCCATGTTAACGCTGAGATGAAACCAGCCAACATGGGGAAAATGGTGATACAGGATGTAAGGAAGCAGAGTTTGCAACGAGAGCAGGAATGTGCAGTGCTTGCTTGTATAAATTGTCAGCTGTTCCCCAAGGGCTGAGAGCTCCCACCTTTCAACAAGTGAATTGTGCCTTGCCTCTCTAAGGAAATTCATCCTAAAATCACTGTTTCTGAAACATTTCCTTTCTCTATCCAGGTCCGATTCCTTGAACAACAAAACAAGGTCCTGGAAACCAAGTGGGCCCTTCTGCAAGAACAGGGGAACAAAACAGTCAGAAACAACATTGAGCCCCTCTTCGAGACCTACATCAACAACCTCAGGAGACAGCTGAACAGCTTGCTGACGGACAAGGAGAACTTGGGAGGGGAGCTCAACAAGGTGCAAAGCCTTGCTGAGGACTTCAAGAACAAGTAAGTCTACCCAAGTCTGCCTGGAGAGCAGGGTGGGTTGCGTCTGTGCAATCAAACAAGGAAAGAAGGCGTTTTTGCTGATAGAATCTTTGCAGTAAGGCCCAAGTTAAGTTCAATATGAGACATATTCAGCCTCAGCTCCCCGTGGCTGAAAGTCACAGGCAGAAAATATGGTATATAATAACAACTTTTGTACAAGCCTAGACCAACTCTCAATTCCGTGCCACAGGTACGAAGAGGAGATCAACAAGCACACAGCTGTTGAGAACGAATTTGTGATCCTGAAGAAGGTGGGTGCACGCACGCTGTGTCTCCCAGCCTGTGTAAGCATAGCGAGAAACATGTTCTTCAGCTTCTCTGAAAACCGCTTCATTTTTGTGATGTGTTTCCTCTTCCAGGAGGTGGACGCTGCCTACATGAACAAGACAGAGCTGCAAGCCAGGCTGGACTCCCTCGTGGAGGAGATAGATTTCCTCAGAGCCCTTTATGAAGCCGTAAGCACCAGCATTTAAATCCTTCTCCCACTTTCCAATGTCCTCACCTTCCTTTCCCACTTCAGAGGCTCAGGACCAATTATTTTCCACTCTGTTGCACTAAATAAGTCAATGCTTTTTCCATTTCACCTGCTGTCTTAACCCTGCCTGGAAAAAATCACTTTGTACACCCAGGTCCACTCTCTAACTGGGGGGTTTCCTCCCTCCGAGCCACATTCATGCCTCATGCCTGCGACTCACCAAAATACCGGCTGCTTTTGCAGGAGCTGTCTCAGGTGCAGAGCCAGATCTCCGACACCTCTGTCATCCTGACCATGGACAACAACCGCAGCCTGGACATGGACAGCATCATTGCCGAGGTCAAAGCGCAGTACGAGGACATCGCCAACCGCAGCCGGGCTGAGGCCGAGTCCTGGTACCAGTCCAGGGTGAGTGCCAAGGATGGCTTCTGCAATGGGAAAACCACACTCCCCACGGGGAGGTGGGTCTGACTGCGATTTTTATAACACGGGATGTCTTCAGATTTAATAATCCTATAAAGTTTGGAAGTGCTAATTTGGGATTGAGAACATACACATACACCCACATACCCAAATTCTGCTTGGCTCTAAATCCAATATATTTTACCTTGACCGGTTGTTCCTCTCTCCATGACAGTACGAAGAGCTGCAGGCTACGGCAGGCAGGCACGGCGACGACCTCCGTAACACCAAGCAGGAGATCTCCGAGCTCAAACACGTCTCCACCCCCACCCGCCACGTCCAGCGGCTGCGGTCTGAAATCGACAGCGTGAAGAAACAGGTAAAGGGCAGCGTAAATGCCTAAGACTTAACTCTTGCTGTGGTCTAACCTCTTGGTTGCCCAGCCAACTCCAGGGAATAAAAATAAACGCATCTCAGTGAGTTCTGCTGGATCAGGAATGAATATGACAGCATTTATCTCAGTGCAGTAACATCACTAGGAGTAACTTAATGCAGTATTAGTAAACCTAAGGAGATGTTAAAAGGTGTGGAGTTAGATTAAATCCAGGTTGTGACCTGGCCCAGAACATGGATCAACTTAATGATCATTCAGATCACACCCATAGATGTTAACCCAAAGTCTTCTGCATCTAGACCAGGCATCATGACCTCAGGGTACAAAGAACTGGTCTATGCTCTAGGTAAGGAACGCAACCGCTGTTTTTCCTCCACAGTGCGCCAGTTTGCAGACAGCCATCGCGGATGCCGAGCAGCGTGGGGAGATGGCCGTCAAGGATGCCAGGGCCAAACTGGCTGAGCTGGAAGATGCTCTGCAGAAAGCCAAGGCAGACCTGGCCCGGCAGCTCCGCGAGTACCAGGAGCTCATGAACGTCAAGCTGGCCCTGGACATTGAGATCGCGACCTACAGGAAGCTGCTGGAGGGAGAGGAGTGCAGGTGGGTGCAATTTTATATCCCAATTTTCAGAGGTGCAATGGAGTCCCAGACCCTTATCAGGTTTAGGCTTCTCACACTGAGAAGACCTGAAACTTGTTTAAAGGCGAGCAATTGCCCATGAAGATGAGATATTTGGGAGGATGTTAGCCTTTTGCACAAAACTTTCCATTCCACCAAAAATATTCCTGCCTTTTCAACCAGCTCCCACCATGGGTTCCCTTTGAATTCTTACTGGCTCATTTTGCTCCCTAACAGGCTCTCTGGAGAAGGTGCCGGCGCAGTGAATATCTGTAAGTAACTTTTAAAAATAGTTTGGCAACTTTTACATTTGTCTCCCTGCCACTCAGAGCCCACTGTTTGTGGATGCCTCTAAAGAGAGTGTTTTCCTCTTGCAGCTGTGACCAGAACCACTGTAGGAACGGGATATGGAAGTGGAAACTGTCTCAGCTTCGGAGGCAGCAGTGGTGTTGGAGGTGGGCTCTGTGCTGGAGGAATGGGCTTCAGCTCTGGAAGTGGACAAGGCACAGCCGGGTCATGTGTGGTTGGTGGAAACAGCTCCAGCACAAAGTACATCACCACCACCTCTTCGACCAAGAGATGCTATTAAAGTCTGACATCAGCACTGTCAGCTAGCGCATGCCAAGTTTTCTCTCGTATTGTGTGCAATCCTTACCCTGTTACTTGCAAAAGATGTGGAAGTCAAATCTAGCTGTCCTTATTTATATAAAACATGGCATGCTCCTGTTTGTTCTTTGACTCTCTGAAATCCTCGTTTCCCAGTGTTTGTCTAATAAAAGGCATGTGGAATTAATTCCGTCGCATCTTCCTTTTAATTTCAATTACTTTATAGGACCTTGGGGAAAAGAGTGGTTGACATAGCAGAGTAGAGCTGAAGGTAAACAAACCAAAGTCATACACACAGGTTGAGACCTTTCCTTCCTCTGCACTCACTGCAACTCCATGGACACCTCTTATATCCAACAGGAATAGAGCAGTTGGAGGTTCCATTCCCATTTGTGTGAGCAAAGCTTTTTTAGCATCAGTATCTTCCAAAGGATGGGAAAATACCTACTCTTCATAGTAGGCACTAGAGAAAACATCCTTCTATCTAAATTCCTACATTACGGCATCTCAGCATTTTCATGCCACCTTGATCGTGCCCAAACCCCTATAATCTTTCAAGTTTTCATGTGATGAGTCACGTAGGGATATAAATCTGTTTTTTCCCAAGAAAGCAAGTATTTCAGCTCACGCTGTTCTGTACATGCACTAGCTGCAGGGGCTAATAAAATGCCGTCACTGCCATTACCATAATTAGAAATGGAAAAGACCCATTAAAATCCCAAACTCACCCTCTCTGGGAAGAATCATGTCCTCAGACACAGGCTGTGAGATAGATAAAACCCCTGAGGGTAAGGAAGGTTTAGTTCCCCTTCTCTGATCTCCTGAACAGCAGAAACGAGACACAAACTACAAAAGCACCGAAGTCCCTATTAAAAAAAAAATAAAAAAAAAAAATACTGTGCTGAGATTACCTGAGCAGATTGTGCCGGTTCAGTCTCTGACACAACCCTGCCGAGTGACTAAAGCACTAGAGGTAAACATGACGCACATTAAGTGCATGCTGACTCCTAGCCTAAAGAGAAGGTGATAAAATAAACCCCAGCTTGTCGTTAATCCTCTAGATCTAAGCACAATAACGCACTACTGGAAAGGAAACGGCTTGTCCTCTTCCACACCTGCCCATCTTTCTCTGGCATCTCTGGACTGTATTTCCACTGACACCAGCAGAACTGGTATTTGGTTTAAACACCGTCCAGCATCAAACAGGCACCCGATGACCTGGACTTTTACAAGTCAGGCTTCCTCTCTGGGGGACCGCGTACAAAATTTCAGCAATCTCAGTATGCAGCATTGCGGCTGAGCAAAGCATCCAGCCAACAGAAAGGCACGGGTACGTCCCAAATTATCACCTTTACCAGAAGTACCTCTGTGCAAAGTGCTGCCTGCAAAGATGAGCGCAGACGAAGACATCTAACTTCTTGCCTAGATCAGGACAGGTTGCTCCTACCCCAAGACAGCTGGCAACTGGGGAGCAAAGTCAGCTTTTTCTTTAGCAAAGCACATCAAATTGGCATTTTCAACATCTCTAGATTCCCTCTTCTGGCAACTTCAGTCCCAGTAGCTTTAAACTAAATGGACACTGACACCATTACCCAAGTTAAAAGTAAGCTCAAAGGGAACTTCCGGACATTTCCCCCCCCCCCGCCCAGTAATCCCCACTCTGAAAAATACAGGTTAGAAAATTTGGTTAGCTTTATGAGCCTGAAGGTTGCCAGCCCATCGCTTTAGCGAGTCTGGTGATTAACGGGTTGGGAAAGGTGGCCACGTGCCAGCATACCAAACCAATTAGCTCAGTCAGCTGAGCTGCAGTCCTCTGCGGACAAGCCCAGCTCTCCAAGAGGATAAAAGGCAGAGGGGGACTCCTGATCCAAACTCTTAAAGATTTCTACTCACCTGCCATCTCACCTCATTGTCCTCTGCTCTCGCCACCGGCGAACAATTGCACAGAAGTCAGTCGGCATTAGGTCAAGAGAACTCACTTTCAGAGAGCAGTTTCAGCACTGCTTCTGCCACTATGCCTGTTAACCGAAGCAGCTTCAGCTCCATGTCCATGTCCCGCAGCAGTGGCGGAGGCATGGGACAGATCAACGGTGGTTTTGGCAGCAGGAGCCTTCACAATCTAGGGGCAAGCAAGAGGATTTCCATGAGCGGAGGGTATTGTTCTGCTAGATCAGGATACAGTTATGGGTCAGGTCATGGCGGGTTGGCATATAGAGTTGGTGGAGCTGGGTTTGGGTTTGGAGGAGGATGTGGCCCTGGAGGTATTCAAGAGGTCATGGTCAACCAACACCTCTTGGTACCTCTTAACTTGGAGATTGACCCCAACATGCAGAGAGTGCGGCAGGAGGAGAAGGACCAGATCAAATCCCTCAACAACAAATTTGCCTCCTTCATTGACAAGGTAAGACGTGTTCCACTTCATCCAGCCTGGCATGTTTGTCATTGCCTGTAGAGTAGGATCAGGATTGCTCTCAACATTAAATATTTACTTGTAAATCCTTCATGCACAGAGTTACGGATTTTGTCCAGCTTGTTACCTCCATATCCAGACTGTCTACATAGCTCATTTTGTCAGAGCTCTATAGACGGTCTGCATGTGGTGCAAATTATTTTTTTTGCAGTTGAATATTGCTCCTGGTTTCCAAATCTTCCTACCAATGATCTTTTGATGATATACCTCTCTAAAGCCCACTCTAAATTACATGAAGCAAAGCAAAAAAACCCCTCATGTTAAAGCTCCCATCTCATGAAAAGCAAGGCAGGTTTTGAGTTGATCCCAAATGATTTAAATTGTTCTGATGGGTTTCAGGTGCGGTTCCTGGAGCAACAAAATAAAGTACTGGAGACCAAATGGAGCCTCTTGAAAGACCAAAAAATTGTGAAAAATAACCTTGAACCTATGTTTGACGCATACATCAGCAACATGAGGAGACAGCTCGAGGCTCTAGGAGGGGATCGGCTGCGGCTCAGCTCGGAGCTGAAGGCTATGCAGGATGCTGTTGAAGACTTCAAGATCAGGTAAGCAACACACAGAGAAAGAAATCCGTCCAGTTTTTTCCCCCACTCTGTCTTCTTCCTGGATGAGTTAAAAGACCCAAGGCAACCCCAAAACTGTGAGACCTCAGAAAGGACTAAAGGGACTCAGTTCCCCTCACTTTAGCTGCTGTATTAATGGCAGCAGCACTCTACCCCTTGCAAGACGTATGCAATTTTTTGCAGGGACAGGTGAACTTTCTAAATGTTGCAAAAGGCTCAGATCGGCCATCCACAGGAGTTCAGGAGCAGCTTCTCAAAAACTTAGTCTACTCAGAGATTAAGCTTTCCAAATGGTTTCAGCTCCTGCATAGTCATTTTAATACAGACCAGGATAAAACCTGAATCTTAACAAGACTATTGAGCATTCTGAACACTTGTATTTCTTACTGATGGGGGTTCCTTTCCAGAAGAGAAAAATTGTCTAAGAAAGATTAAATTTAAATGTGTCTTTAAGTGGTTTTCTTTGGTTTTCTTTTTTTTAATTTTAATTATTATAATGTCCCCTAATATCAATGTATTGGATATTTTAGCATTTCTGAAAGTCAAGAGTTAGCTTCCACCCCATGGAAAGTCACTGAAATCTTGGGCGAGGGTTTCAGCTCAGGTCTTGGACTCTTTAGGCTGTCAGGAGGAGGAGTTCCTTCTCTCATCCACTCTTTGTACTTTGGAAAAACATCTATCAAGCGCTAGTGTTTGCTACCATGCCCACAAGGGATACTCTGCTTAATGGATGTGAATAAGTAAGAAGCTTAAATTGTCAATCTGGAACCAGAAAAACGAGAGATGAGAGCTAGGTGCAGGCTGCAATTCAAAACCAGGACACGCGCATTCTGCCAAAAACCCTCCGCTCTCCCTTTCTTGGGAGATCATGTGTCTGACACTTTCTGCCACCTTCACCAACAGTGCCTCTAGCCCAAAAGTAGCATCGGAACAGAAACGACTGCCTTGGGGAAGAGAAATCATCATCCACGGTCTACTTTGAGACTTCTTTTTTTATAGTTCTCTGTGCCTTCAGAAAAGAAACGTTTAACAGAGAAAATAATTCTGTCCTGGGTCAGTTTGGCCATGTAAGACCTCAGGGTTTTACAAATCAGCCATCGGATTTCCTTAATTCATTTTAGGATGTGAGAAATGACATTCCAGAGAGAAATATCTTTCTCCATCACCTACAGAAGAAATCCCAAAGAGGGCCAAAATAGCCAAATTCCAGGCAGCTGACTTCAGATGAATCCCAGTTGTAAGCACAATACTGCTACGGATTAACCGGGTCAGAGAGTGTCCTCCTCCTGTTCTCGTTGCAGGTCTGTGGTGAAAGCAATTTTAAATTTTGAAAAGCAATGTCCAACATTAGCACAGTCTGGAGCAGCAAAGCAGCAACAGAGATTGCTCAGCTGAGGAAAGACCCTTGGGTGCACAATGACTTCAGACAAGAAATCCTTTGACAACCAAAGGTCACATCGTAGAAGAGGTTCAGACTTTAATACTCTGCCTGTATCTGACAAAGTGGCAAATATTCCTTCTGGCTCCAGATCAGGGAATCTTTGGGCAAAAGTTCAATTACATCATACACATTGCTGGGCAGGGACCATCACCTTGCATTGTGGCAACAATGCCTACGCCTACCAAAAGGACGTCACTGCTTCTGTCCCCGTTTCCTAGGAATTTGTTCTTCTTACCTTTATTTATTTTAAACTTTGTGGATCCCAAGGATTTCTTCCTAATGCTTTGCTCTTCTGAGTCAAATACTAATCCATACTGCAATTAGAAATTAGACAAATGCCAAATTAGTTTTCCTCTTCTATGTGGCTAAGAGCTTAGAGACCCATAAAACTATATACAGGCTAGGACTTTGCTTTAATGGAAATGATTTTAAGGGTTGGATATTCTCGATATGTAGAAATCTTCCCTCATGAAAGGGTCATGAAAGGCTAAGGTTTCATTAGCTGCATGGATTCCTTCCTTTGAACTCCTGTCTTTCATCTCCCCCATATAATCATTTCATTTGAGCTGGGCATCAGTCCATGGCTACTGCTGGTTTTTATCCCTTCCCAAGAGTGGGACTGCGCACTGCTGCTGATCCAGACCTTGGCTCTCCTTGCCCAGGCCATCATCCTCCCTCCTCCCCAGCCATCCCCAGCCCTCCTGAAGCCACCGCGGGAGCTGGCGTCAGAGATCCCAGCTCTTCTGACTAACCCAGGCGTGGTGGCGATGAGCTCAGCTACGGCTCCACCCAGCCCTCCCGGCCTGAGAAAAATTTAGAGAGTACAAGGCTCTCATTCACAGCGAAAACTTCTGGGAGGATAAAACGTGCCTTTACTGAAGGCCTGCAGCTTTTCTAGATGGTCTCCTCCCACCATCTAGCCCAAGGGTGCTGCCTTTCTATCATAATCGGTGAGATATATATATATCTCTAATAATGCTATGTATAACATACGCACTGACATAGCAAGGACATGGCGTTATTAGGTAGCTACGTTTGTTGTTTCCACCAAAGACCTACACATCGGTGGTAAATGCCCCTGGGAACAGACTCTTTAGTCTCTCCACAAGCACCCTACAATGAATGTGTGGAGGAGGGATTTCCATACGCCCACGGTGGACGGGGTGGGTTGCAGTATGGAAGCTGTAAAGGGATGCTCACGTCCCCTTCCCAACAGGTACGAAGAGGAGATCAACAAGCGCACAACTGCAGAGAATGACTTCGTTTTGCTCAAGAAGGTGAGGTGCCAACAACAAAGAAGGGACACACTTTTAAAAAGCAAAACGCATTTGAATGCAAATAACCCTTTTTATCCGGCAGTGCCAAGTTGGCCAAAGCACTTAGCAAACGCGTAGTCATCCCTCCTTGAAGCAGAAACACCCAATTGTGCCAATGTGTCAGTCCTTGGCAATAGCTCGTTCTTGTTTCAAGCCCCTCATCCAAAATTCAGGTGAGTCCTGGTCCCCCAGGTACCAGATCAGATCTAGGTCATCCATACCTTGTAGTCATTCCACCAGATGCTCTGGCTCTTCTGCAGCCAGCCTTTCTGGATTCATTCCCACCCTCCACAGCTCCCCTGGTCCCAACCGCAGGAAAAACTTCCACTATTTCAAGCACTGTCCAAAATATCTGTCTCTGCACTAGCAAGAAAAGGGAAATTCAGTGGCTTCTGACATGTCAAAAGTTGCTTAGATTTACGGACATCATCCCTCCCTCCCCCCCAAAAAAAAGGTGGAGGGAGCAAACAAATTCACTCTTGGCTCTGTTCAAAGGCACAGAGGTCAAGAAAGTCTTCAGTTCTGGTTTGTCTCCAAAGGTTTGTATGAAATGACAATTAGTCTTTGTACAAGGATGCAGATAGGCATGGTTTGGTTCACTACCTCTTTTGTCACGGTTCCAGGATGCAGATGCTGCCTATGTGAACAAGGTGGACCTGGGGACCAAGGTGGATGCACTGACAGATGAGATTAACTTCCTGCGAGCCCTTTACGAAGCAGTAAGAATTTCCCAAATTTCCTCAGTTCTGCTATTTCCCCAATTTCCTTGTAGCAACCAGATTGAACCAGCCTGAGAGAGATGTTTGGAGCTGCAGTTCCCCTCCATCCCTACCCCTCTACTACACATCATCTCTGAGACGAGCACAAGGGTGAACATTTGGGACTGAGAACGAATTTGTTTGACTTACAGGAGCTGTCTCAGATGCAGTCACAGATCTCCGACACCTCTGTGGTCCTGTCCATGGACAACAACCGAAATCTGGACCTGAACAGCATCATTGCTGAGGTCAAAGCGCAGTACGAGGACATTGCCAACAGGAGCCGGGCAGAGGCTGAGTCCTGGTACCAAAGCAAGGTGAGGATGTGAAAATTAACCAGGTGAGCTAAGAAAATTTTTGTTTAGCATTTCCCAAAGGCTATTTTATACTGGAGAGCGCAAGGAGAGAGCAGAGGGGAGTAGGGTGTAAAATCAAATCGATTTGGATAGGATTTCATTTAGTTTCTTTGACACATGAAAATGCCATTTTGACAACAAAAGACAAAGCATAAGGAGATAGAGAGAGGAAGGAAATATGTTAAAGCTCACAAGGAAGAGCTTGGATTGAGTACAGAAAGAGACAGGAGACCCAGTCAAGAGAGGATCAGAGCAGGGTCAATCTCTACCAATGAGTTCAAGCTCCTGCCCAGATCTGACTGTGCCTTGGTGTCTCATCTCCCTGCCCATCTCAGTACGAGGAGCTGCAGCTCACAGCTGGCCGGCACGGGGACGACCTCCACAACACCAAGATGGAGATCTCAGAGATGAACCGCATGATCCAGCGGCTCCACTCGGAAATTGATAGTGTAAAGAAACAGGTATGGTGCACAGGATCCCTCCAAACACAGGGGCACCTCCATCTCCACCACCTTGCTCTACCCTTGCAAGGATGCCTGGAAATCGAGGTCCAAACCTACTGAGCAGTCACCAGAGCTATTTCCACTTCTTGCAGTGCACCAGTTTGCAGACAGCCATCGCGGATGCCGAGCAGCGTGGGGAGATGGCCGTCAAGGATGCCAGGGCCAAACTGGCTGAGCTGGAAGATGCTCTGCAACAGGCCAAGGCAGACCTGGCCCGGCAGCTCCGCGAGTACCAGGAGCTCATGAACGTCAAGCTGGCTCTGGACATTGAGATCGCGACCTACAGGAAGCTGCTGGAGGGAGAGGAGAGCAGGTGGGTGGCTCCCCTTGCAAACCAAATAATGTCCAATCCTGTAGATGTTTTCAGATTTGCCTTGCAATAAGAGAGGGAAGGGCCACAAAAACCTGAAGAGAAAGCACCCTCCTATCCTACACAGTTACGGGTGTTATTTCAATTACTGTCAGACACTCATCATCAGACCTTTAACACTCTAGACCATTCTGTTAATCCAAAGTCCTGGTGCCAAACTGTTGCTTGAAATTGTCCTAAATAACAAGCCCTTCCTTCTCTGTCCTCTCTTTCTTTCAGGCTGGCTGGAGAAGGCGTTGGTGCAGTGAATATTTGTAAGTAATCTAGCTCTTAAGCCATAGATTGAATATTCATTGAGTTATTCCTTAAATGTATCTGGAGCTGAGGATAAGACAATGAAAATGAGCTATGCAGCTAGTAGTTACCAGCACAAAAATGGAGTATATTAGGGTTTTGCAGTGCTCTGCGGGACTGGGGAGGCAAAGAGCCTGACACCTCTTTTCTCTGGCCAGCTCTGAACTTGAAAGGTTTTGTACACTGAGCCTGTCCCTGGGAGACTCAGATGTCAAAGGCCAGCTCTGCTACAGGATACGAAGAAAAGCCGGGGAGTAAGATGTGTGAAATACAGGCAGTGGTAGACTGTCCAAGAAAAACCATGAATGTGTGAAACTAAAGGTTGAAATCCCTTCGTACAAATTCCAAACAAACTAACCCTCTACCCATGGCTTCCCATCACAGCTGTGGTCTCATCCGGGAGCAGCTACAGCGGTGGGAACACGCTGGGGCTGGGGTCAGGCATCAGCAACAGGCTCAGCATGGGGGGAAGCGGTGCCAGCTCCAGCAGCGGGAGCTGCCTGGCTGCGGGATTCAGCTCCGGTGGGGGAAGCAGCTCGAGCATGAGGTTTGTATCGAAAAGTACCACCAAGAAGAGCTATCGGAGCTAAGTCGCAGCAGCACCTGGCTCACCTGGAGCAGAAGGGGTTGAGCACCATCTCCTGCTGTCAGCACAAAACCTTTCAACACCATCCAAAAAGCCACGCTTATCACCTTCCCATTAGGGGAAAACATATTCCCTGTGCTACTTATTGGCTTGGGAGAGATGCCTCTCCAAGTCCAATTAATCCTCTGCATAAAGCCTCACCTAGCTGCCCAGTGCTGCTTGTCAATGAGTAATCAACCTTCCCATTAATGGGTGCCATCATTAGAGCTCAGCTTGCAGCTTCCCAGGGCTTCCTTTTGCTCCAGTGCCCTGGTGCAAATCCAGAGTAGATGCAGGACTTGGATTTATACCAGCATACGTGAAAGCAGAACACGTCCCTTCAGCTGCTTATGGTAGAAAGCAGAAGGTGTGTTGAGACCACAGGCTTTTGTGTTCCCTCCTAATCAACCCTGCTCCCCACTCCTGGGCTTGCTCTCTCCAAAGGCTTGAAGAATTGAAAATGAAGCCCCTCTCAATATAGAGGCACTTGCTCTGTTTCCCAATTCCTCTTGAATTGCTGTCGTTTCACTCCAGGGCTCTCTCGCTCTTCCTAAATCCAAAAATGCAGCCTTCATTTTCCATAGGTGAAAGGGGTTGGCTCTCTATAACGTCTAATTCCTCACCCACCCAGTACGTATAATTTAAGCCAAAAGACCATGTAACCTACAGGTTGCTAGACCCTATCCCAGCAGCAAACCATTCTCCTTTCCACCAGCCAGAGTGAGCTTAAAGTAGAGACAGGGGTTAAAAATACAGGAAAAACAACAAAGAGGAACAGCAGGCTTTGGTAACACAGATTTTACATAACCTGGAAAAACATCTCTGCTTTAGTGCCTTTGTTCTTAGCTTTTTTTTTTTCCCCCTTCTTCTCTTTTTATAGAAGGGAGAGGGAGGCAAAGAGGAGGGTTGGAGAATTATATGCCAAAATGTAACTAGCTCATTTCCTCTCATCTTCTGCTCCCATTGACTGTACGAGTTTTATGAAATTTCTTCAATAAACTGCAATCAAATTTATCATGAGCAATGTGGGGTTTCTGTGCCATTATGAAATTCACCTAAAAGGGTAATTTTAGAACAAGGTTTAGAAGGTTTGCCATAGGCACTGGCTGTCACTTGGAGCTTTCCCATATCCTCCTCCTCCCCATCTCAGTCCTGGAGAGGAGGGGGAACACTGAGGGGTCACAGAGCGGCAGTACCCAAGCACTTTGGGAGGTCTTCCAAGTTGCACAGCCATCAGAGCAAGACCAGAAGGTGGGGATGGTTTCACCTGGCCATAAACACCTACATCCAAGCCAGTCAAAGGACAGAAACAGACACTTTTGGATCAAACAATTCGTTCCCTCTCCCTCTGTGGGACTGAAAGAGCTCCAGGCAGTTGGCTGAAGATGTCTGCGTTGCAGGAGCACTCCAAAAGGTGTTTTAAAGTCAGGAAAGATGGATCCCACGCATCAACTTCTGGAAAGGCCGGTTCCAGACCTGCAGCTTGTGCAGGGGAAACAGGAGGGATTTATCTCCATCCCCTCTCCAAAGCGGCCAACAGAGCCATCAGGCCACGTGCTAAACAAGGATGCGATCCCAGGGCAGTCAGATGCTCCTGAGCTGAGGTTTTTGTTGGGTCAGCAGATCGAAGCCGGGCTGGCTCAGACAAGCTGGCAGTACTGAGCTCTGCTCAGGTCTCTAATTAAAAACCCAAGAGAGAGAAAGCGAGAGAAGAAGCCAACATGACTTCTTCCATTTCATGGAAGATGCCAACTATCACATGTAGCAGCTGTTTTCCAGCATCCAGGGCCCAATCATGAAAGATGCTGAGCTCTTGGAACTCCTTTTAGGCTGACTCCCAAAAAGTGCTTAGCACATACAACTCCCACACAGCTTTACCCTAAAAAGTCGTGCAGCTAAACAAGGCAAGCCAACTTTCAGGCTTGCAAGCATGAACTTCTCTCTGATCCTCTTCATGGAGCAGAACATGTTCTCAGGCCACGATGTATGCCAAGAAAATCACATAAAAGCCTTTAGAAAAGGCTGAGATTTTCAGGGCTAAGCCCTCAGTGTTATCCCACTGGAGGCAAAAGAATTAAGAGGGTTCCCACCCATGGCACACAGCCTTTTTGGTATTTCAGCAAAGATGGGACTGAAAATCACCTATTTCATTTTCTAGGAAAGACTTATCTGCCCTTCCTGCATCTTTGTCACTCTGAATCCACCTCCTTTGCTAAAAAAGTAAATACATTCACAGGGATTTGCCAAACAATTTCACCAGAAAGGAATGACCAAGCCCAGTTCTCTTCTAAGCTACTCCCCATGGAGGACACTTCTGCAAGCAGTAAGACGAGAGGTGTCAATCTGACCAGTGTCAGTCACACTCCTCCCAAAACTAGGGAAAACAACAGACTCCCTCCTTCAGGGCACTCGGTGGAAGAGAGAAGTAACATGAGAGACCACCTCCATGTATTCAACCTTTGCCTTTGTTTTTTTCCCTGGCTGGTGCAAAGGTCTGAGCTGGAAAAACCTTTCACTGCTTCCTCCTGCACTCACCCCCCTTTGCTGCACCTCTTTTCTGCTTGCAGTTACAGACCAGCAGAGCCCTACCGCCAAGAAATATGCTTGCACGGGTCCATCTCCAGTCCCGAGGGAATTAAAAGATTGTACTTAAGGCCAATAAAATTACAGAGGTCAAATGAACGAAAGAAAGGAGTAAATTATGGAATTAGGATAACAAAAGGAGCAACTGTGGCTAAAGGCTAATGTAATACCAAACCAAATCAGCTCCAGTGTTTGGATCCCTAGAATATTCCCAAGAGTTTAACTCAGATTCTTCTTTTCCCACATGTAAAAGAAAGCAATCCCTCCCTCCCAGTGCCCTGCAAACATCAAAAGATTGGTTCTGCTTCTCTCTTTCATGCTTACTACAAAAAAAGGGAGGTTTGTAAATGCATTTTTTTATGGGACCAGGGATTCCCTCCCATTCAAATTAGAAATGCAGCCTATAACTCAACGATAGGTGTGCACTTAAAAGCAGCTCAGGTCACTATTCAGCAAAAGAGACAAGTGTGATATTACCAAACAACCTAAGCTCATAAACATCTTTAAAAATGGTCTTTTGGGGCTGGTTGTGCAGCCAAAACCTGTTTTCCTGGGACACAAAAGGGTGAAAGCTCTGCTTCTCATTGCAGAGGGTTTCTGGCCAGGTTAACTCACGTGTATTGCCTCCTGCTCCTGCATTCAGCTTCTCCCTCTCCTTCATCCCCCTTCGACCTGATCTCAACATCTTGCCAATCGTACCGTGTCTGCTCCGGAGTTGGGGGCACGAGGAGTTTCAGCTCTTGCTCTGTGGTGATCCCAAGAAGCATGAAGAGACACAGTGTCAGCACATCTCGTGCCGGGGAGGTGGTGGTGTGGGGTACCCTGTGCTGGGACACTTCAGCAGCAGAAACGTTGGTGGCAACGCAGGCTGGAAGCCCAAACTAGTGATCAGAGGCTGTCACCTCCTGCGATATGGCCATAGCCCCTCAAGCACAGGGTTGGGCTACGGAGGTTCTGGCTTTGGCTGCAGGATCGGTGGAGCTTCGGGGGTCTGCACACCCATTGCCAAGGTCGCAGTCAATGAGCGTCTGCTCCGGCTGCTCAAGCTGGAGATGGACCCAAACCTTCAGTCTATGAAGCACCAGGAAAAGGAGCAGAGCAAGACCCTCAACAACAAATTTGCATTTTTTATTGACAAGGCGACAGACGCCTGGCTCAACGGGCACTGCAGGCGCAGAGCCATAACAATCTGCCGTACGGCACATCCGACGCAAGGAATGCGTTTGCCAAACTGCTTACTAGCAACTGCAGTCAAAACTCGCAGCCTGACTTTGCAGTAAGGACCTGCTTGGGTTTTATGAGGAGGACATTTTGCACCACCTTACAGTAAAAAAGAGCCTTCAGTGGAGGCAGGAAGGTATTTTCACGCTCCAAGAGTGGTGTAAAGCAGTCTTATTGCAAATGACAGTCAAGCTTTGCTGTTACATGCAGAGAAGCTGATTCTAATGTCCCATTTTTATACACTTGAACCCTAACTTCTGTTGAATTACCTCTGACTTACCCCACTCTACTCCAGTGCCGAGTCTAACTCGGTGCTTTTTGCACAGTAACAACCAATACATTTTTCTGAAGAACCTTCTTAAGAGAAGACGCTGTTCGACAGATTTTAAACGCATGCCCTCTCCATTCACCTGATACTATCCTGAATAACTCACAGATTTTCTCCCTCAATTTGCCAACTCTGGGACCATAATTGTTCATTTCTGTGTCACCAGTATAACAAATCACTACACTTTGACTGCTTTACTACTGGGTATCAAGTCCTGTTCTTGGAGGCATAGAACAAGGTGCCGGAGACCAAACGGAGATTTCTATAGGAACAAAAGTGTTACAGAAGCAACATCAAGCCAATGTCTGCAACTTATATTGGCAACTTGAAGAGGCAGCTGCATGTTCTGGAAAGCAACAGAGCCAAGCTGGAAACAGAATGGAGCATCATGCAGAGTATCATGGAAGATTACAAGAAAAACTAATTTTTAAAAAAGATAAAAGCTCTAAAACTAGGGCTAGAACTGATCTTATCTAATTTTCGGACAGCAAAGGCTGCACAAGATGCAAGATCTCCTCCAGATGTACACGTGTATGACTTGCATCGGCAGTTGGTTTCCATGCTGAGCTTGAGCATTTGGAGGTGGTAGAGGAATATTACAGTCATATTCTTGCTTAAGCTGAATCACGAGGAGCAAAGTGATCTTTTTTCTTCTCCTTGCAGGTATGAAGAGGAAACCAATTGGCAAACATGTGCAGAGAATGAATTTGTTACGCTGAAAAAGTTAAGAGCATTTCAAACCAATTCAAACACTTATTCCAGGCTTTTAGTATGAACAGCAGCCAATATTGCTGGAAAGAGAGGGCGAGACTGCCTCTCTCTCTCCAGAGACTCTAGAGGGACCTAAAGTCCAACTTTTGGGAAGATTTAATTAAAGGAGTTGAATCCCACCTTAAGTGAGTCAGTTTTAGCTGAGCTTGTTCATTTGGGATGTTTGTATACCCCAACTGGTGGAAACCTTTCATTCTCTTCTCTGTGTCTGGTCATTTTTTGTCTTCTGCCCAAGAGGATAAGAGAGTGAAAGAATTCAATAGCATGGTCCATTTCGGACACCTCTGTTACTCTGCAAATGGACAACAGCTGAAGCCTGAATATGGATGACATCAGTGATGATGTCAAAGCTCAATAAGATGACATTGCCAAAAGAAGCCGGGCTGATACAGAGTCCTGGTACTACAGCAAGGTGAGTCTTGATGGATGCTCACAAAAGTAGCTATGCCCCACTTCGGCTACGGGCTCTGCTTCTTCAGACTTCCTAATTTGGGTTGAATAGGCTTTTTAAAGTTCTGCTTTCTTAGCCACCTGCTGTGTTCTCCCTTCGTGTGATACATCCTCAGTCAATGTCTTCACACACAGAGCTGCTACTGTGTAAATGAGTCATTTGTGTCCCCCGGTGACAAAGGTTTTTGCCTTAAACCTCAAGGTCCGGGACCGCGGCCCCAGAATCACATAGAAGGTTTGACTACTGACTCATCTCCTCACTCTGGTATTTATTTTCATTGCGTTTTCTCTCTCCTCCATATAAGGAACTGAAAGAAACCACAGGCAAACACGACAACAGCTTGCGTAACACAAAGAATGAAATTGTGGAGTTGAATCGAGTGATTCAGAGACTGACTGGAGAACGTGAAAACACCAAAGCCCAGGTAAGAATGACTCAGGGGCAAGAATGCCAATCACAATTCCCAGGTTGTGGCTTTTTAAAACTCCTCCGCTAGAGCAAAGGACCAATAAAGGCAGTTTTGATGAAATACATGTCAGCTGCTCAACTCTATGACTCGCCTGTAATCCAGAGTACAGAGAAAAATGGTCTATTACGACTAATAACTCAACTACCGTCAGCAGAGACCTGCACTAAGAAGACAACGCATACACCAAAATTTCAGCAAGGCAGAGAGAGTTGTTCTAGAGTTAGAGGTTTACCTATAGAGTCTGAAAACATAACAAAGTGCAGGTGGATGAATATGCAGACAAGCAGATTCAAGAGCTCTGAACTATTCAAAGCACATGCAAATAAGCGGCAGCAATGAAAATCTCCTACCTGCAGAGACGCAAACTGGAAGGAGCCATTGCTGAAGCTGAGGAGCACTGGGAAGTGGTTGTTGAGGATGCAAAGTGCAAACTCTCCGAGCTAGAGGTATCCCTGCAGAAAGCAAAGCGGGACATGGCCCGTGAGTACCAGGAGCTCATGAACGTCAAGCTGGCCCTGGACATTGAGATCACGACCTACAGGAAGCTGCTGGAGGGAGAAGAGAGCAGGTGGGTGCTGGTACAACCCTGCAGGATGCTTGCAAGGAAGAAACAGTAACACATCTAACCCACAACCACCTTTGACAGTCTGCCTGATGAGCCATCACCTCTGTAATTGCAGTAAATCCCACTGAGACCTGATGTCCTAGGCTGTGACACTTTTCAAAGCACTTTCCAGTATTTATGGACCCAAATGTCTTACAAAGTCAAAAGCTGCTAATGCACTCAAGCACTTAGGTCTTCCCCCAAATGGAAGACCTTGCATGAACAAAGATTATGTCTTTAAACCAAAAAAACCAACAAACAAACCCAAACTCAAATCAAGGCTGAGGCCATCTCTCATTAGAGTCCCCAAGGAGATCCAGTGGCTTTGGGAAAATGTGGAGTGCAGAGCTGGTCCATGGGAACAGGGAGGGGTGCGAGGAGATCAGATCACATCTCGCCCACCAGGCTCTTCCCGTGTCCATCACTCAGTGAACATCATACCCCTGGACCTAATCCCCTAAAATGAGGGTGAAAAGGGGGACGGAAACTCCCTGGGGGCTGAAAAATCACTGTGGTACGACAGATCTGCTAAAAATGGCTACAGCCAGACTGTGTGAATGCAGCCGGGATGTGAGAGATCACGAGAACAGGAAGGAAACCAGGGGAATTTTCCTGCTCTGAAACCTGTGGTAGGCTGGAAGAGAAGGAATTCTCCCATCAAAAGTTTTCCTGAAACAAAACCTTTTTTTTTTTTAATTGAGATTTTTTCCATTAAAAAAAAAAAAAGTAGCACCAAAATTTCTCACTCCCAACATGCTCAACCCAATTTGAACTATTTGGTTTAACTGAGGTAGTTCACAACATTTGGGGTTTTTTTTGGGTCAGTTCAATGATGAATCCAACTGTCTTTCCCTGTTGCATTGGAGAACCTGCAGCTTTATCTCCTGTCCCTCCCTCCCTTTGGGTCAGGCTCCCTGCAAGCCCAGCATCCTGCAACCCCTGTCCTCACATTTCTGTCCAAAACTGCTGTACAGTTGCAATTGGGGTCAGTTGTCTCATCAAAAGCAGAAAGCATTTCCTAGGATGACAATGTGGAAAGAAGAGATGCAGCCAGAGAGCCATAAAATACAACAGGCTGGAGCAACATGGTCTGACACATGAGGATCGAGGACAATCACCAGATTAACTCTGGATTTTCTCATGCCGCGCTCCCCTAAGCATGCCTGTGAGCCAAAGTGTCCAAGAGCTCCCAGATCCCTACAGCAAAGCTGGTAATTTTGGCTTGTAATTGTAACCAACCACTGAACAGGGAAGAGGAAAGAAATGCAGTAAACAAAACAAAATCATTAGTTTGAAACTTCCACCCTACCCCTACAAAACACACCGCCCTCCCACACAGTGACGCGGGCACCAACGCTATCCCTGGCCTTCCAATGACATCCCATCCCTTCCCTTCCCTTCCCTTCCACGCGCGTGTGAACAGCAAAGCCAGGAAGAGTCTGAGCCCTGACGCCACAATGAGGGCACCCGCCCAACGTAGGAGGTGAAGGACCAAGCCTGGCCCTGGCCAAACCAGGTGGGAACCCAACCTTCAAGCTGAGGGATGAGGAGACGCCAGTTTTCTGAGGATTTGGCCAATAAGAGTGTCTGTAAAAGCTACCATGTTCCAAGCATCGTTTTCAATTTCAAACCTAATCAGCAATTCCCCCAAATAAATTACCATGTTGGAAAACACTCATATCGGCAACCTGCAGAAAAATCACCTTGAGAAACAGATTTGGCCCCACAGACGTTTCCCTGGCATTAAAACACGCTGCCTTTTTATAGGCAGAACCAAACGTGGTCATTTACCACTAACCTGCCTGCAAGACTTTGTTCATTAATTCTCAGCAAATTCACATTTATTATTGATTGTGATTCAACCTGCTGTTTAATAAAAACTTTCTCCTTCAAAGCTCTTACTTGCAAGCTGATGTACCAGCAAAACATAAAGATCTCCTTTGATAGAAATGCATTTCGCATTTTCAAAGTCTCAGCTCCACTTCATCCAACCTATAAAAAGAGGAACATGTAATTTTTACCAAGTCCCCTGGAAACAATTCACCCAGCACAAGTCCCCTAATTTTTGTTGCTATTACACAAGACTTAAATACTGCCCCTCTGACTTAACAGCATTCTTCAAACCTTCATGGGGCAAATATGCTGCTGCTTTCTCTGTTGGCAAGCACAATATATGCTAAGTAGTTCACATTCTTTGCATCATAAACATTTTGTGGAAGTTTCATCCAGCCTCGCCCCATTTTCCACGCAAATAAAAGGAAGAGGTGCTCCACCATGGTCAGAGGGAACTGCACCTTGGAATCTGCTCCCAGCACATCACCTGCACCAATCCCTCTCCCACCAGCAACCATGTCCTACAGCATCAGCTCCAGCCATGTTGTCAGGAATTTTGGCTCTTCCTCTGTAGCTCTTCCCAGGAATCGATGTAGTTTCAGCACTGCCTCCTGTCAGTGGGGTGGTGGCATGGGTTACCGTGGCTTGGGTTACTTCAGCAGCAGAAGTCTTGACGGTACGGCATGTTCCAGGCCCAGAATAGCTGTTGGAAGGTTTCCTCCTTCGAGACGTGGATATGGCTTTGGTGCAGCTGGCACAGGGTTTGGCTACAGAGGTGCTGGATTTGGCTACCGGGTTGGTGGAGTCTCCAGGCCATGCGCTATCACACCCATCACCATCAATGAGCAACTGCTCCAACCACTCAAACTGGAACTCGATCCCAATGTGCAAACGGTGAAGCACCAAGAGAAGGAGCAGATCAAGACCCTGAACAACAAATTCGCTTCTTTCATTGACAAGGTGAGCTGAGAACCCCTCCCCAGCTCCAGTTTGCAGGCAGTAGAGCCCCAGTGAGGTGTCTAGCACGGAAAGGACAAGGAATCCGTGTAAGACAACTCATTGCAGACATCGAGGGCAACTTGCATAAGGGCGCCAGTTGAGCACCAAGGTGTTTACGAGCCAGTGGGGAAGCCTCAGTGTACAGGCACTATTGCTCTGATCTTTAGGCCTGACTGCAGGCACGCAACAAGCTAAAACTGGTTTCATCAGCCTTCCAGCTCCTTCCCATTCGTCTCCGCACATCCCCAATTTTTTGTGGATCTCTCCTTTCTGGAAGTGATTAGTTTTTTGTGCGTTTCCACATGGGCGGCCCAGAAGCCGCCTATGCACAAAAGCACGTTGGAGGAGGAAATGCTGCATTCACACGTACCAAGAACAGGAACACACGTTTCACTGCTGTTGCAGGGACGCTGGCTCTCTCTTAATCCTCATCTTGGTTCCTATTTTGCTTTCTGGGATTCAGGTTCGATTGCTAGAACAACAGAACAAGGTGCTGGAGACCAAGTGGAGTTTTCTGCAGGGTCAAAAACACTGCAGGAATACCATCACCCCCATGTTAGAGGCTTCTATTGGTAACTTGAAGAAGCAGCTGGAATTACTGAGGTACAACAGAGACAAGTTAGAAACAGACCTGAAAGCAGCACAGCAGGTTTTGGAAACCAACAAGAAAATGTAAGTAAAAAACAGAGAAATGCGAGTGCAGGGCTCAAAATGTTGTTCAAGATTTGTAAACGGGCAGAGACCATGAACTTTTTGTGGTAGTAACCGGTTTCCAGAGAACCAGTATGTAGATGGAGAGATCTACCATGATCTCAATACATAAAATAAGGTCCCAATTTAAAGAGATGGAGGAAATGGAGGATGTCGCTCTTCCAGGTTCTCTTTCTCTCCTTCCTAATTCGGGGAAACATGGAACATTTAGAAATGTTCAGCACCTATTCGCTGTTGTAGCAGAACCGTTTTCATTTGACCTCTGCAAATTTGTAAAGACACAAAAACCCCTCTGAAAACAAGGTTGCTTTCCCATGGGCTACAAAACAAGAACAAAGCATCCCAAAACATTGTTTGGGGAGAAGGAAAAAAAATCAGGAGTTTCACCTCTTGAAAGAAGACCTGTAGAAACCCAAAGAAAGATGTAATTGCGCTGAACTCAAAATCCTCCATTTTCCCATACAGGTACAAGGACAAATGCAGCCAGCGGACAGGCACCGAGAATGAGTTTGTTGCCCTGAAGAAGGTGAGCAAGGGGCCGTTTGAACTCTCCTCTCTGGGTTCAGGTCTTTGGGGTGCACGCGGTGATTTATTCCCCAAAAGCAGCATGTAAAACAAGTACAAGCAGGAGCTCGTGCTTGGGTTTGCTTGAACTCAAATCAGCAGCAACTGTAATTGGGAGCTGGCGCACGGTCACGGTACCGGCTCTGAAAGTCCCTCACCCCAAGGGTAGCCCTGAGTCCTTTGTTGCTCTCACTAACAAACTTCCTTCTTCTATCCCCAATGCGTCTCCAGGACGCGGACTGTTTTTTCTTAAACAAAGCAGAGCTGGAGGCCAAGGTGGAAAGCCTGAAAGAAAAGGTTGAATTCCTGAGAACGTTCTACGAAGAGGTAAGAAGCTTCCCTATTGCTCCAGCCATCATTTGCATTTCCCTGCTGGATTTTGAAGTTGCTTATCCCAAAGGACAGAGGAAGAAGGGGTAACGCAGGGCAGTGGTCATCCCCTGCGGTGAACGGTGAGACTTGGCACGTCATCTCTGCTTGCTCATTGCAAAGGGGGACAGAGTTGCACAGTGTGGGTGGCACACCAGCTCGGGGCTGGACTGGGAGCAGAGCAGGACCAGCATCTATCTGACCAGCTCAAACCCCATGTCGTCGGCCAGGAAATCCACCGGCTGCGGACCCAGATCTCAGACACTTCGATGGTGGTGCAGATGAACAACAGCCGAGATCTCGACTTGGATGGTGTCGTTGCAGATGTCAAGGCTCAGTATGAGGACACTGCCCGCAGGAGCCGGGCAGAAGCACAAGCCTGGTATGAAAACAAGGTGAGAAAGCCTGGCAGAGAGAGGGCTTGGGTGCAGTCTCTCTCTTCAGACCAATTTCAGACCCAGAGAAACATCCCCCATTTTCCTGATTTGCTCTCATTTAACTCAAAGCATGTGGTTTGGGGATATGTAATGATGTCTTTTGGGCTTTTTTAGTTTGAGGAGCTGCGAGTGACTGCAGGCAGAAACGCTAACAGCCTGCGAGAGACAAAAACCAAGATAGCTGAGCTGACACGGATAGTCCAGAGACTGAACAGAGAAGTCAGGATCGCCAAGGACCGGGTGAGCACAGCCAGGCCTGGTAGTTTCAGCAGCGCAGAGTGTGAATTGCTGTTCCCGCGAGCTCCCACAACTAAATTAAACAAACACCTTGCAAAGGGTGTTCATGAGCTGGGACTCTGCTGCTCCAACTAGAGCTGCATTACAGCCCAACTCACACAGTACCTGAAGGCAGATGCGGTTACAGCATCCCATCCCCTTCGAGCAACATAAGGGAGCACGGAAACTGCATGTCCAGCTCCCTCAAACACCTGCCAGAGGGGACCACGCGTCCATCTTACTGCCGGGCTGAATGCACAGCCAGACTTTAAACTCATTACACTTGAAGACAGCAAGAGACAGCTAAGACTGACCATGTCTTGCTCCTTGCAGTGCTGCAAGCTGGAAGCTTCGGTGGCCGATGCTGAGCAGCGTGGGGAAACAGCCGTCAAGGATGCGAAGCACAAACTCTCTGAGGTGCAGGCAGCCCTGCAGCAGAGCAAGGCAGACCTCGCGCAGCAACTCCATGAGTACCAGGAGCTCATGAAGGTCAAGCTGGGCCTGGACGTCGAGATCATCACCTTTAGGAAACTGCTGGAAGGAGAGGAGAACAGGTGAGTGACAGACCCTGCACGAGCTACTTTACATGCTGAAAGGAAAAAACAAGTCATCTGTGCCAGTCCTGATACAGATCAGTTCTTCCCACCAGTCCTAACAGACCTCCACCAGTGCAAACCCACCCAAACAGCCAGTCCCACTGCCTCCAAACAGTGAGAGACAGGCAAGAGAGGTTCGTGCTCACATTTGAAGATAGATTGATAATGTGCAACCTTTTCCCATTCTCTACAGGCTCTGTACAGAAGAAGGCTTCCCCATCAACATCTGTAAGTTGGAGTCTTCACCTTCTACCAAACTCGGGCATCTTCTGCCTTTTCTCCAGGGAATTTCCTAAGCTGAAACTCAGCTTTGCTCTACCTTTTGCAGCTGCTTTGTATTCACAGGGAGGTCTCACCGATGGCCCAGAGCCTGACTTTGCATGTGCCCACGTGTCAACCAACAGCAACGCGTGCTGGACCAGCAGCAAGGGGGTCTGCGGCACAGTGGTGTGCTGCAACAATGGCGTTAGCAGCAGGAGCACGAGGAGCTCCCACACGAAGGTGGTGTCTGTGACCAAGTCAGCCAGGAGCAGCATGTAAAGAGCTGTGGATAAATGGCAAGGCTGGCAACAAAGCAACATGCACACCTTTCTGCCAACACACAACAACAGCCAGGCCAGAGCCAGATTGTGCGCACTCAGCTCCCCCAGGCTGCACACTCATTTTCCATCCATGGGGATACAAAAAGCAGAGGGCTTTTCTATGGTCAAGAGTTTTTCTATTTCTGCTAGGGAATCTAGGAGCAAGGAGAGCTAAAATCCCCCTCATCACTCCCATTATGTAGTTAAAACAAGATGCCTTTGGTGTAGTTCCCTGGTCTTTCCACTCCTACAGGTTCAAGGATTAAAAATGAGGTGTGAGAGAGGGCACCTTCTACCTAACAGCATTTTCATTAGAGCTTTATTATCCATCCCAGTTGTCTTAGCAGTTCCCACCCCGGATCAACCTAGTTTAATCAGCCAGACTTTTAGATTACACATACACTCCTGGCATGAGCAGCACTCCCCCAAAATTGCCTAGCTTGCAGTTTCCCTACACATTGCACCGATTTCACTGATTATTTGATAGACTTCAAGGGCTGTTGCTGTTTGAAGGCAGTTTGCTTATGTACTTGCATTACCTGTTTTGAAACTGATCCTCCACTTTCCATTTCCTTCTGGGTTTTTAATGGCCTGGTTCATCTGTTGCCATAAACATCATCTTAACTGAAGAGTCTGGGGGCCAGAGTCCACTGTCAGGTATGAAAGGGACCGATCCATCCACATATCTGGCTCTAGGACACAAAGCTTCTCTACTATCTTGTTCACTGGGATCCAAATCCAACCTTAAACGCATGGGACCAGCATCAATTACCTTCCTAGTTGTCCAGTACCTAGCACACTGAACTGCTAGCGTAAGTACATTAACCCTAAGAAAAAGGGGAAGCAGGGGTTTATTTCTAATGATCTTATATTTTGTCAGCAGCTTTCATCCTAGTTTTAGTCTTGCATCTCCAATAAACTGACATAGCAACTCAGTTACCTTCAGTCGACACCTTCATTTGGGGAAAGGAGGGTTAACTCTTGTCTCTGCTCTGGGATCTCAAGGCCAAAGCTTACAGGGGTCTGAAACAGGCACAGGTCAAGCCCTCCACCCGCTGGGAGCTCTTCCTTCCCAACCCAGACACTTCAGCGGTCTCCCATAACCCCCAACACATCTGTTCTCCATGCACATGAGCAGCTACGCGAGGAGAGACATTATAATCTCTTTCCAGAGCATCACTGAGTCAAAGACACAGCTCTCTCCTTCCTCACGCCTGCACATGAGGAGCAGGATCCGTTCCACCCAACGCTGAGTGTTTATGACCCAGCTCGCTGCCAGCAAGGCACGAGAGACAGGTGCTTCCCAGGTTGGGTGTCTTCATTAGGACAGGGTGGAGCCCCAAATGATTTTTTCCCCCAGGAAAAACAAACAAACAAAAACATTTAGAAGGCACTGACTAAGCACAGATGCTCTAGAAATTTGCATAAAGCTAACTGAAACTTTTTATTACAATCATTGATTGCTAAATGCCCTTAAAACCATCACTGATTGCCTTGAGTTGCCTGGAAACTCCTCAAAGCCAGATACTGGGACCTACGGGATGGTTTTACACCCCCTTGTCCTTCCCCTCCTCCTGGCACCAGACTAGGTCCCGCTCAGCTCACTGCAGTGGCCCCCCAAGCCAAGCAGACCCAGCCCACGCTACAGACCTCTTCCCAGGCTGCGGCTGCTCCAGTGCAGAAGCACAAAGTCCCACCATCTCCAGCAAGAGGCTGGAAGACCTCTTTTCCTCTCTGCTATATGGCATGATGCCCTTTATAACCTCATCAAGCCAATTAGGCTTCCCATCAAGCTAATTAGGCCTCCCAGAACAGGAGTCATCTCCTCCCCATCTTGCTCCTCCCTGCCCAGTGGGAGCTGGGGACTCAGCTCAGTCCATACTGGTTTTGTGCCATTTAATTCCTTTTAAACACAGGATGAAAATCTCAATCAACCTCAGAGCAGGGTTTTGTCCTTGGTAGTTACTGAAAAACTGATGGAAACTGAAGCAAATGCAGCTTTAACACGAGGGAACTGAAGAAAGCTCCCCAGCATTTGCAGCCTTCTTCCCAGGCCTGCCTGCATCAGAGTCCTCACCCTTCCTCTGCCTCAGTTTCCCTATAAAGAATAGAACTTACCTTCATCGTAAACCCCTCTGACCTCTGCAGACAGATCACGTTGCCAATGACCTCCTCGGTTCTGTTATTACAGTAATGTGGGTAACCTCGCATCCCAGCGTTTGCAGCTGGTGGTACGGCAGGGCCGCAGGGGTAGGTGGACGGAGCAAAGCGATTGCATCCTGCAACGCAGCCCAGAAGGAAACACCGGGGCTGGTCCTGCAGGAACACAGCATTCAGCTGGGGCACTTAACTGGAGGGAGAAAATGAGACCAGCTCACAAGGAGGGGAGGAATACAGAGGCTGAGAACAAGCAGAGATGGCAGAAACACTCAAAGAAGCATTCCTTAAAGTATTAGAAAACAACCTTATAAAGTATACCTAGATAAGTATTATAAAGTATACATAATTATTGTGCATTTTACTCGGCAGAGAGCAAGAGGCAGAAGCTGAAGCGCTCTGAGCCCTGGCCCCAAAAGCATGAACAGAATAGTGTCCCTGAGGTGTCACCAGATGGGTCAAAGACCTTGCCCATTCGAGGACAAATTGTCCTCTACAACGGTCTTTGCTCTCTACTGGGCTCCATCTTTCCCTCAACTCATGTCTGCAAAGCTAAACGACCTCCAGCTTTCCCTAAATTCTTTGAGCCCAAATTCATGGCTCCTCCATGAACCACAGCAGCTTGCCAGGTCACCCCGACGTCCAGACCAGGCACGTTCCTGGCCCCGCACCAACATTCTTTGTCCGCGTATGATTTTATCCACATTTCAGATGCTTGTTATTCTTCTTAGTCACTGCTGCAAAACAGGGAGGCCAAAAAATACTGCTTTGTGGATCGTTTGATGGCTTTTTCTACCTTTTAATACCTCTGAGACCTGCTTGCTCCCATCGTCATCCTTTTTTGCCTCTATTCTCTCCAGTGACATCCTGCCCACCAGCACGGGAAGCTCACTTGCTGTTCAGACAAGCAGTGGGAGGCAAAGTCTGGCACCCAGGAGACTCAGCCCACGTGGCAAGAGCTGGGCGATGGCTCTGCCTGCTGGAGAGCTCAGTCTGGCAGCGGTAGCGCTCCGTGGTGGAGGGCTCCAGAGTGGGTGGGTGCCGGGTTTCTCTGGGTCGTGTCTGTCTCCTTCCTCTAGAAGTGCAAAAATCTCCCCCCGTTGAAAAGCTGCTTCTGAAGCTGAATTATTTCTCTTGAATCCAACTTGCAGAAATTACAGTTAACAAGACACTGAGTACATCTGCTTTTACACTAATTCAGGGCGCTTTGTCTTAATAATATCATCACCCTCTCTGAAGCAGAGCGATTAAGTTTTGACCAGCTCCACTTATGACCCCAGACTGAGCCAAGACTGGATCCAAAGAACAAGCACAAAGCATGAAGTGCATCCGTCTCCATGGACTCACAAAGATGCTTCACGGTGTTTCCCAAAGTGTGCCGATCCTGTTTTCCCCAGCACCCCCGTGCAGTGGATGTTGTTCTGCAAATGTGGAAAAGCTGCAGTCACACAGACTGCCCGTGCCCCTTCCCAGGTCAGTGCTGCAAGCCTGATACCCAAAAATTCCAGGATCCCTGCTCATCTCTTGTAATGTTAAGAGACACCCATGATTCCTCGCTAAGTATCACAAAGCCACGCAAGTGACAGCAAACAGCGGCATCCCCAAAAACATCTGGGCAATATCTTTCTTCGAGCTCTTCATTTCAATTAACTTCAGGGGATTTTTTATTTTCATTTTGATTTTTTTTGGCTATGAGATAAAAGCCATGAGCTGGGTGTGCCAGGCTGCTGATAACACAGCTCTGCTGGGCACCCTGGATTCCTCTCCTCCCTGCCATTAGTGCCTTGCGCGTAGTAAAACCACACACAGGCTCAGCACCGTACTTGCTCAGTGACAAGGTGCTGGGTTGTGTTGGGCGCTGGAGCGATGGGGGCCAGGTGGCACACAGGTGGGTAAAGCATCCTTCAAGGCCCTGGCAGCCTCATTGCCATCCTCATCCTGGAGGAAACAGCTTTTCTGAGGGACTACAAAAATCTGCCTGGCCCCATCCCCACTGGGGTGATGCCTTCTGCAACAGCAGCTCCAGTGTCTGCCCTGTGAGGGGTGGGAGCAAGCCCAAATCACCCTGGGGTGAGTCCTTCTCGCCCC